AAGTGCTACGAAACCCACTAACTGTCCCCACTGCCCCCAAGCCTGACTGGCCAAGTGCTACGAAACCCACAACTGTCCCCACTGCCCCCAAGCCTGACTGGCCAACGTGCTACGAAACCCACAACTGTCCCCACTGCCCCCAAGCCTGACTGGCCAGGTGCTACGAAACCCACAACTGTCCCCACTGTCCCCAAGCCTGACTGGCCGCCTGTCCCGAAGCCGGTGGTCGAGTCCAAATCTTCTTTTGGAGACTTGCCCAAGCAACAGGCATCGAAGACGAACTCTTCAGGAGGAGGTGGAGGTCTGTTCGGTACGTCTTCAGGTGGAGGTCTGTTGAGTACGTCTTCGGGGGGCGGTCTGTTGAGTACGTCTTCGGGGGGCGGTCTGTTGAGTACGTCTTCGGGAGGCGGAATCTTGGGTACGCCTTCAGGAGGTGGTCTATTGAGTACGTCTTCAGGGGGCGGTCTGTTCGGCACGTCTTTAGGTGGAGGCGGTCTATTGAGTACGTCTTCAGGAGGCGGTCTGTTCGTAGGCAATGTGGGTGCTTCCCCGAGTGCTTTTCCGACCGCCGTACCGGGAAAAGCCGTAGCTGCTGTGGGTGGCAGCGGGGGTCGATCTAGTGCAAATAACGTAGTGGAGGCAGATGGAAGTTGTTCAGATGCGGAGATGGCTCAGTTGATTGAGTGCATGTCGGATCGGATCGAGTCTTTATGCGAACGAGTACGGAATACGCGCCAGATCCAGGTCAAAGAGATCCAGAAAAACATTGAGATGCAGTGGGCGACTGCACAGGACTTAATTAAGCGCACCCCAACCCCGTCCTCGCTGGTATACACTGACGTGCATGCCATTGAACGGGCTACCGAGACTATGCGCAAACGCCTCGTCGACAGCTTAGCTGCCCAGGACACGGTCGCCAACGTCGCACATGGAGCCTCGAGCAACGACGTAGACCAGTACCTCACGGACGTAAGACGCTCGGCCAACATCGTCGCAGCAGCGCTTCAGCAAACAGAGGTGTATCGAGCCGTTCTCGAGTAAGCACACACAGTGGCACACACACAGTGGCACACACGCAGTGGCACCCACGCAGTGGCACCCACGCAGTGGCACAGACAGAAGCATACACTATGTCTGCATGATTTACACATACGTCGTTCCTCAGTATGTGGACCTCTACATGTTCTCTGGTGGAACGGATGGAAGCCTGGCGGGCGCCTCTCGGGCCGTAGGTATATGCCAACAGGGGCTTGGACGGAGCCGCTCAGGTAGTTCGCGGGGATCCCTTCGAGTGAGCGCTATCTTCGGCGCACCTTTTCACCTTGTGAAAGATGAGCACCTCTTACACACGTGTGCTCATCCTAACAGTCTCGGAGAAGGTCCCCTCACACGTGTGAGAACGTACTGTGGACAGTGGCTGCTAGGGGTTCGGCGGCAGGAGATATCTCTAAGCTTGATGGTTTGCTTTTCGCGTGGGGATTCGCCGGAGAACGATTCCCGCCAGCGTGCACAGGACCAGCGACCTCTCCGCCATTGACAATGCCCACTGGTAGAGAAAACTTTATAGCTATTTCCACCATGGCCGCATATACATCAACGAGCATGGCTGACCATAAAAAGCCAAAGGGCACGCACGACGTTAAAGAAGTCGTCAGGGTGGAATTGCAAATCCCCAGGGATTGCAGAACAGATAGAGGTTGCTTCGTTGACGGTGACCATGTCTGTCGGTGACCATGTCTGTCGGGTCACCTGTAGTCCCTGGCTCATGTGTTGATACCTTCATCGTGTTTCGTGTTGCATATATTGCGTCCATCGACATGTGCTGGGAGCTTTTTTGTTGGTGTCATTATGATCCACATGAAAACCAAACAACCGTCTGGTATCATTACCTCTCTGGTGGCATTCTTGACCTCTTACACGGTCACGGTAGTATAGGAATTGGTGAGGGCAACGGTGATGGAGTGCATGAGGATATTGTTTTTGTCTACGGTGTCACCGGCCGTTATGTTGTGGCGCGTCCTCGTGTTTTTTTTCGGTTGGTATTTTGTACGAACAATACCGTAGACGCCAACGCTGATTTGGGGGCCGTTGAAGAGTAACACAAGTGTCGCCTCTCGAGGTCGACGAACGGGAGCGACTGCTGGCCTACTGCCAGCTTTAGGCGAAGGCCGTCGTTGATCGCGTGCGTTGGAGTTGGTTGCCGGTGCCCTACGATCATCGAGACTACCCTACACCGTGTTCAAACATGGGAAACTAAGTTTATTGTCCGGCAATATTTCGCCAGTGAGAACGGCCGGGATGGTCTTGCTGAAGGACGGTGCTGGGGGCTGTGGTAATTTAGGTACGCGTGGCAAAAGTCGCGATACTGATGTATGAGTAACATGGATCAAAATGTCTGTTCCCTCACGATCGAGGAGACATTTGTACAGGTGTACTCCTTCGTTGATAAGGTGGCCGATTCCATACGTACCTGTTTTACCAGAGCCTCCACACCTGACACCCAAATGACATCAGACATAGACTCGCTCACTCATGTCAGCACTCGGGCCCCACGATGGCACAATGAGCGAGTCCCCAACAATGTAACTGAAGGGCCGAAGGTACTACGACGCGTGGGGGCGGGGCGTTCTCTCGGGAAGTGTTCTCTTTTTATTGCCCCCCCCTTCGTTGAAAATGAGTGATACTTTGAGTGCTGTCTGTTCTGACTCAATCAAACGAGTGGCACTGGGTGGAGTTCCGACGCATGTAAGGGGGACCTTGGTAGGTGAGGAGACCCTCAAGTGTGCGTCTGAGGGTAGCTTGTATAAGTGCGTAAGACAATTTTTTAGGGGGTCCAAAAAAAATAGCATGAGGGCCTTGCTATCGTTGTCAAGCCAGAGCAGCCCGGCTGTGGTGTGTTTGGCGGTGGTTGAAAAAGGAGGTCTGGAGGTGGTGGGGTCAGATAGTCTGTCGACGAGAATTGCAAGGGATCTGAGCACTGTCTATAACGTTGATGTGTTGGACCGCTTCCGCGCCAAAGTGAAGGCCACTGGCGACTCGGAGCTGCCGGTCAGCATCGAGGTAGAGCCCGGAGATTTGTTCTATCGGTCGAACGCGTGGAGCCGGATCTATTCTGTCTGTCTCCCGAAGGCCATGGGTGGGGAGCATGTTAAACAGTGCAAGTGCGCCCCTATAGTTCACTGGGAAAGAAGACGCGAGCAACAAACCGAGCGTGGTATAGCGCACACAGACAAGCGCCTCAAATCCGGCAAGTGGCTTGCGCTGCGTTTGGCGCAAAGCTGGAGGGACCTAGCCGAGGAGGCAGCGAAGTTAGGTGAAGGTGAAGCAGAGTATGAGGCGGAGAACGCTGGAAGGGGGCGAGACGATGCAGCAGACAACCGTCTAGCAGGTACGGATGACGGGTACGAGAGTGGCAGGTCAAGTCCAGTCAGTGGCAGAGGTAGTCCAGTCAGTGGCATGTCAAGTCCAGTCAGTGGCAGGTCAAGTCCAGTCAGTGGCAGGTCGAGCCCAGTCAGTGGCATGTCAAGTCCAGTCAGTGGCAGGTCGAGCCCAGTCAGTGGCAGAGCTAGTCCAGAATGTGCGGACTCGTTTGATGACGGGTATGAGAGTGGCAGGGGGAGCCCAGGCCCACAGTGTGCAGAGGCGTTTGATGGTCGGCTAAATAATGTTGGAATAGTTAGCGATACAGTAGACGATGATGTACGTAACCCAGAGGTAATGATCGGTTGGGCGGAGGACTTGTTCACCGAGGAATTCTCCGTGTCTCCCTTGGTTGCTGGTCAGTTTTGGGCAGATATTCTGGCGCAGGTTCAGACGGCTATAGAAGACCCATCGATGCCACCGGTACCGTTTGCCGTGACTCATCCGGATGGCACGCCAGCGGATTTGTTGGCGTACTGCAAGGTGGTGTCGTATTTGGAGGATGCGGAGATATTGGAGAGTGGCCTGGATGAGTTCAAACGTGTGACTGATGAGGATGAATTGGTAGCTGTTGGAGAGATAGCGGATCCGATTGACCAAAGGTTTCGTAAGGCGTGTCACCCGTTTGATACGATCAGATGGAAGAGACCAGACATGGTAGTGACAGCTGCGGATTGGACGGGGTCTTGGAAGGACTCGCAATTGATAATGCTCTTTGCTTCACTTTTTCCTAAGTACGCCAAGGAGTCCAACTTACAGTCGACACTAGGGTTTGCCATTGACCCTTCCATCTTCCTGTACCCACAGTGCACGGAGCACGTCAACGATGACTTCTCATTGCTCCTATCGCACCTACGCCACGTTCTACTGAAAACTAAACCACCTACTGAACCACCGAGTCTCAAAAAGGTTGCACGTAGAGAGCTCGCGAAAGCTAAGCTCATGATGAAAGAGTATGTCTCCATGTGGAGCAAGCCTGGGGGCTTGAAGGCCCTAGGACTTATCGAACTTGAGCTCGAAAAAGCCGTGCGCAGATGGAACTCGCTTCTCATTATATCCGCTCTCGAACGTGTGTGCTATGACGGAATGGAAGCCATCTGCCGATCAGCTAAATCAATTGAAAATATTCAGGTTCAACTAGAGGAGCTTCAAACCTCTTTAGAGAACCTTGCTACTGAATCCATCATCTGCAGCGAACTACCCTCATTCGCAGTGTATGACGATATGGTCGATGTTAACTTCGAAACAAACATCTTGGTCTGCAAGATACCACCCGAAGATAGACCCGACAAGTTTAAGCATTGGCTCAGAATGTTTGTTACTGAAATTACTCAACGTGCTGCGGAAATTGAAAGGGACTTGAACAACGCAATCTTTCATGGAGACCCGTGGAAACCTAGTGCGGAAGTACCCCTTGCAGAACTGAAGACAGAATTACCATCTGACCTTAATGACGACCTTAATGACGACCTTAATGACGACATCCAAGAGGACCTTATGAGTGCGATCGAAATCGTGTTCAGAAGTGAGTTGGATAATGAACTAGAGCGTGTGACGGACACCTTTCAATGTGAGCTACTGAAGGACGACATGACATACAACACATCGAAAAATGACGACAAGAACCATGCCCAGAGCGACCCACTCCAGGACAGTAGCGACCCACTCCACAAGAGCGCGAAAACTGAACTCAACAGAGAACCCAGCGAGCTGGATCGATTGAGAGAATACCCCTGGACTCGGCCGAGGGATTTGCCCTGTCAATCCGCGGATCTGGCCGGGAAGGACCGCGCAAGCGACGTCTTCCAACTCACCCAGAAGGCGTACTGAACCGCCAGGCCCACTGAACCATCGGATCGGAACTGGAGGCCCACCGGTCGCGCCGCCCGGAGTAGCCGAGGTGGTGTTCGCGAGTTTGAGAGGTAACAAACATTTTTTAAGGCGGACGTACGTACATGCGGGATTGTGGCCTCACTTTGGGGCCAACCGCAGGAAATGAAATCTTAGCCGAAAAAATGAATGGGTTTAGTCAGGGGATCACTGTCCGAAATCATGACGATGCGATATATACATGGATGGGGGGGCGATATGCACTCGCGCGGGCCAACACGTGAGAGCCAGCCAGTCCGCGGGGGCTACTCAATCTTTTTGGGTTTGGTTAGTAGCCGGGTTACAGGTGTTTCGACGCATAGGTATAGGGGTAGCGCGACAGCGAAGGCTAGGGGTGTCCAGCTGAGTGATTCGTGGAAGCCTTCCCACAGAGAGACGGTTGCGACGATGGGTACGGTTGCGTAGTACACTGTTTGTAGAGCCATGTGTACGAGATAGGTTCCGAAGACGAGCGGTGAAAGTGTGCTGAAACCGCGGGCTCCCAGACAGGTGTCGACTGTGGCGGTCATCGTATCCTTGATAGTCCCACGACGCACAGCATAACACGCAAACACGAACCAAAGCACACACGCCGTCCAGACCACACGTGCACCCACGTTGTATAACACCGTCACCACGTAAGGCATGTTGGGGAACCAACGATGACGGATCCACGGTAACCACACGCACATGCACATCAACGTCAAGGCTGACATGTGACCGCACCACAACCATCGACTCACACTTGACCAGTTTACACGCACATGATGAGCAAGCTTACTCGTCGGCCGATGGCGTTCCATCAAAGAGGCCGGCGTAGCCGGCGGCGTAGCCGCCGGCGTTGCCGGCGCTCGGTGTAATGGCGTGGGCTCTGCACCCGGGAGCGGTGAACCCAACAACGGCGTCGCCCCTGCCACTATCGCTGACTTCTGCTCCGCTGAGTCCACCTCCGCTAAATACACACCGGCCGCCAACGAGATCAAATAACCCAAGGCCCGCGGCCACGGCCGCACGTAAAATAATTGTTTCTCTATCGCTGTTGCGATGTCACGTTCAATGGAGTCTGTATTGTCCGACGATGTCGAGATCACACCCATCGTGTAAGAGTGTTGCAACTGATTCACCAACGTCCAACATGACGCCAACACAAACGCCAACCACCACGCGTGCTTATAAGCCGAAGCTGATCGCCTGAGGGGGATGGTGGTCATGGGCGTGGGCGTGGGCATCCGGGGGAGGAGGGGGAAGGGGG